TGTGAGGATATATAAGGAATGTAAAGGCAGTTTCTTGACTTAAAATCATTTATATAGTGACCATTCAAAATTACAAGAGCAATGAAAGAAGTGACTTATGACAGTAAGCCTATATACTGTTGCAGTATCCCCAGAGTCATGTGGTCAAAATTTGGATGGTTGGTGTTAGGAATATAAGTCTCCTAACAGGTACTTGGGTTAGAAATATATAAACCAGAATAGACATTTTAATACTGTCTTTTAAGAGCATGCTAAAAACTGCAATTGGGTGTGGTTACTCAAACGGCCATAAGATGGAGCCAGAAACCTGGGTTGTTTAAGTTTTAGTCTGAGTCTCAGAAGAGAGTGTGAGTGTATCTCTGTTCCCTTCTGTTGGAAAGTGTTGCCGTTCCTCCATTTTTCCTAATTGACTGCTATTTCTGGATTTAATGTCTGATATTGAACTGTTTTTTCACACTGGACTTTGATATTTGGATTATCCCTGGATTGAAAAACTGACTGATTTACTGACTGAATGACTTTTGGACTGCTTATCTTGAACTTTGCTTAAACTGTCTTGAAGTAAAAACCTACATTTACTGTACAGTGTATCTGTGTGCTGTATGTGTATTATTGAAACACTACTCTCAAATACGTCTTCCTAATGGGGAATTACCTCAACAGTTGGCAACTGGCATGTATATGACAGTTGTACCATCCTGGGGTCACATAATCACCATTTGCAACTTTTCCAGCTGCCATCCAACAAAGTCACAAATTCGATTTAACACGATTCACTTAAAAAGTGAAGTTATTCGCTGAACAATTGTGGCAAAAAGGTTGTAAAATTAGGTATGACTCACTTAACAACAAATCTGGAGCTCAAATGTCATAAGTAGAGGACTACCTGTAATCCTAGTGAAGCTAAAAGTAAGATTATGTCAAATCTCAAAATAGCAATTATTAAGAGACTTTTGAGCTTCCTTGGCTTGGAAACAAAGCAACAGCAGTTCTGATGGTTGATAATTAAAGGCTAAGTTTTCTATTCAATTCATTATATCCCTTAGGAAAATATTTATATTTTATATTGGGTTCCTCTCATATATATTAGTAACAAATTTTTAATGCAATCAGTCGGAATCATCACCAGCATTTTTTGTCATTGAAAATTACTGAAAACTTAGTGGCTTCAAATTTCATTATTTCTTCATTTTAAATTTGCAACTTTAGCTTTCCTATTTTTAAAAAATCTCGTGGTAAGTTACAAATTTTAAAATAATTAAAAGCTTAACAGAAAGGTAGTTAATTAGACTTGTTGCAAAGACTATTAGGCCCTAGTTTGTTAAGACCCACGTGCCAAACATTGTCCAAAACAATAGTGTCTCTAAGCAAATGCAGTATTTAAGCAAAAAGATCCAGACAGTATGGAAAATCCGTGATCTGTTAAGAAGTCCAGTACTAAATGATAAATACGACATGGCTTATAAATATTAGGTACAGTTCTGTTGTTTATAGGATTCCTTATATATTGTTTATATATCTGTACTATTCGTAGGTTTGTTTTGCATTTTTATGGGAATTCTTTTTGTATTATTAATAGGAACAGTACTATATTGTAAAGCAAAAAAATGCAATTCTGGGGTGTTCTCTGTTCATGAAATATTTCAGATTGCAATTCCAGATGGTTTCAGCTTCTTCATCTGTGGAAATATATTTAAAGATTTCGTTTCAAAAAGAAAATAGCACCTAAGCAACTTTCATGTTCTGTAATGGACCGCACTGCTATTACTAACTACACATATATATTCCTAGAAAGTATCCATTGAGGCAGGTTATAAATGAAATAATAGAAATGTATATGAAGACATATTACTTATGTATACACATAGCTTACTATCAGGTTCTGCATCTGGATTTGTTGCCAATATTTTCATTTGTTTGTGAACGCAGTTTCATTATTTTAAAAGCTGCAAGACAGAATTTATTAGGTGAATCTTCTCCATCACATCCAAATTGTTATGTTTATTCATCAACCATGCAAGAACATGGTTGGTGTTATATCTTTCTGTAACCAAAATGAGTGTAATTATTGCTGAAATAAGAGTAACAACCATGGCAACAGGAAACTTAGGAATTTTATAATAGAATTCAAACTCAGCCTATGGATGAGGTTTAAAAACACTGGTCTATACTTACATATTCTATAATTTCTAACGAAGTCGTCCAAGACCCAACTAAAGGTGTTTGGACTAAACCTCAGATTTGTTCTATTACTGGATTATAGTTCTTCCAACAATTAAATGTTATAATTATGATATATTCAGATTCTTGTTATCAGAATGCACATCTGTATACAGCGTTTCTCATTGGTTATCATAGTTGACTGTTTTGGGCCATACCAAAATTCAGTTCTCGGACAACTACAAGAAAAAATGGGAATTAATAGTACAGATATTTCTATAGTCCACATTTCCAGTGCTCCCTAGGTTTTATGTGAAAGCAATAACATGCACATTAAAACTATTGGAATAGTAGCAAAAACGAAAGATATAGAAGCAATCCTTAACTGTATATTTTTGCTTTTCAGGCATGAAATCTACAAATAATTAAAAATGAAAGTACCTCAGTTCTGATGCCAATTTTTAGTAATGGATACAAAACATTTCAAATTTAAAATGTTTGAGCATGAAATGCCTTCCATTTTGAATTTGAAATGCTAGAATCAGCAATTTAAACTGAATTTAAAATAAGTGTTCTGCATTTCAGATTTTAAGCTTGGAATGCTTTTGGAAGCTGAAAATCAGAATCGATTTTCAGCTTCCAAAAGCATTCCAAGTTTAAAATCTGAAATGCAGAACACTTATTTTAAATTCAGTCCTGAAATGCTTTCAAACTGGCTAATGTACCAGCTTTAATGTATTCAAAAAGTGCAACAAGTTTTCCTGAACTCAAAACAGACATTTCAGTCTTCAATTGGATGTTTCATGTTCAAAATCTTGGGAGTCTGAAACCCAAGCTGTGAGTTTTCTTAAACAGCTGTGATCGCTGCAAATAGGCTGCCAGCCTTTTTGCTATTATACAAGAGCAATACGATTTATAAACCATAATTTATATACATACTTAAAAGAGTCAAATTTAGAACTGTTGTTCAATCAGTGCATTAAGGAAGGTGATCATACTTAATACACTTGGTGAAATTATCTGGCCTTTTTACGGGTTGGGTTTAATAGCCTTAAACAATTTGGGGCCCGAATCATCAGGCTAAGTTTCTCTTAACCCATTTGAGCCTTGCAGTTGGTTTCTAAGGCCTTTTTTCAACAAACTCTATTAAATTAGTAGGTGCTTGTAATGGGCTTTTGTACACTGACTGCTTCAATTTAGAATTTTCTTCCAGGAAATACATTCTGGTGGTTTCTTTTTCTCTATGTTTTCAGAATCCTAAAGGCTGACTCTGAATAATTTTATAGTAGGATAATTCTATCATTTATGTTATAATCATATTATATAGTTATTAGTTACATGTGTTGTAACTAATTATGGTGTTTTAATTGCCATTAGTTGTATAAGTTGATCTGGCAAGACACACTGTAAATTTAAGATGGCTTTATTAAATAATGAAGCCACTTTATGTCAAAGCTGAATCTTACATTAATTACAAGTTGAGATGAAAAAGTTGTTTTTCATAACTGAAAGTACTGCCTAGTTTTATGAGTAACTCCCAATAAAAATAATTTTCATAATTTTGCATAATAAAATTTCCTGCTATTATAAAAAAGCCATTAAGTAGAGGCTAGACATATACGTGCCCATCTAAGGTTTTATGAGAGTAATGTATTTGTATCCCTTTATTATTTTTACAAATAACTCATGGTGGTGAACATATCCAACACGCCTTCCTCCAATTTTCCCCACAACTCTGAGGTGAATTGAGCTGAAACAGTTACCTGCCCAAGGTCACCCAGAGGGCTTTCATGACCAAGGCAAGCCAAGACAGTCTCCCAATTTTCTGCAAAGATAGTTATGTCCTTGGAAAATATTTGTTCTATCATTAATCATTCTATTTTACAGCATATCCAAAAATTGCAGGAAAATACTCCCAATGAACATCTAGTAATTGTTTGCCTCAAATGCCCAAAATATATGGTAACTTATCCAATAAGTGCTAGCCAAAAGTAGATCCAAATTTGGGGTTCGCTGGTCTGTGGAAATAAATCTAGTTATTTTATTCAAGTGAGCCAACTGGCTCTACTGCATGAGTAACCTTGACCTTTGTTATCTAAATGTTTTTTTCCCTGAGAAACACCTGGTGTTTACTTCAATAGTTCATGATGCAGATGACACCGATTGATCCAATTTGGTGGCTTTGTTTGCAAAATACAGTACACCTAGCCTGGTTACTAAATTAAGTTTTTCCTTGTATTGAACTGAACCACCACTGTTGAGTCCACACAATATACAAAGCACAATCAATCCAGGTTTTTTTTTGGGGGGGGGGGGACACTAACCAGGTTGAATATACTATATGAACGCAGTTGTTACTCTTGCAACTGACCTGGTTCAACATGAGAGGGGGATGACTATGCCTCTGCTTTTTGGAGGGAGATACCAGGTAGAAAAGGGGGGCGGTTGTAGGGAAAAAAAAGGATTAGAGCCTAGTGATGGAACCTCAGAAGGCCCCAGAACGCCACTTTTGTAAGTGGATCCTATTTTTAAAAAAAATCTTGCCTCCGGTACGAGGGGCTGTTTTGGAAGGCTTGGGTGAGTTTCGCGGGCTAAGGCGCTAACCTCAGGCCCCGCCTTGTTGGAGGAGCAACCTCAGCGGCTTTCTGTTTCCTCCCGTCGGGGGGCCCTTAGCCAAGGGAGCCTTCCAGGCGACGGCTCGAGGGAAACAAAGTAGCGAAGAGCCCAGGGAAAGAAATCGGCCGATTGAGGCGTGCGCCTGCGCGCGCCCAACTCTGCCTGATATACACAGGCGCACATGCCTTCGCTCCCCTTCTGTGCTGCGGCGGCGGCGACGAGGGAGGGGAGCGAGCGAGCCTGGAATTGGTGCCGTGCGCGAAGGAGGCACAAAGAAGCGGGGTTGCTGGAGACGGGCGGCCTCGGGCTGCGTTTCCCCCACTCCGTCCTGAATGGAAGCCCCGCTCGGCCGAGCAACCTCGGGTCTCCGCCGCTTTCAAACCGGGCGGGCAGAGCGGACCCGCGTTCAGTTTGGGCTCCAGGGACTGACACTCTGCTGCGGGTGGCGGCGCTGAAAGGAAGAAGTTGTTGAGCATCCTTCGCCTCGAATCTCGCTGCCGTGGCCCGACGGGAGGCGATGCTGCAAGCCACCGCCACCGCCGCCTCGAGTGCTCCCTTGCCGGTCCAAGGCTCCCCGGAGCCCAAACAGCCTTCCCGCCTGTGAAGAGAAGCCGAGGGGGAAAGGCGTCGGGCGAGCGATTCTGGAGCTCTCACCGGGTTCATCGACGCGCTGCTGCTGTCGCCGCCGCTGCCGCCTGAGGCGGCGGCATTCGAATCTGGCGTGGTGGAAAATCTTTGCCCCCCCCGCCCGCGGCCGGCACCCGTGTAAGCAGCAGCTTTTGCTTGGTGGATGCGTATGAATGAGTTCTGCACCGAATGGGCGCAAAAAGCGCCCCAGGTCCACCGGCTCGATCTTCCAAATCGGCAAAACGTCGCTGCACGGCAGAGACTGCGAAGGCCGAGACAGCGGCAGCACCGAGGGCGCCCCTAAGACCCAGAGACTAGCCCTGGATGACTGCAAGATGGTGGGTACCGCGCAGCTGCGCCCCCTCCCCTTTGTGTTTTTGTAGACGTGTTTGTGTGGGGCTCCACTCCTCTCCCCCCCCCACGTCTCCCCGTCTTCCGCTCCTTGTCTATTCCGATCACGTGCAGCTGCACTATTTTTAAAACTGCAGTCCGCATTTGAGTTGACACCCTTTTTGCTCAAGTAGCGGCTTCGAGACCAGGGCTTGTGAGGTGGCGTGGGGGGGGGGGCGTTATAATGATGGGTTGGGTTTTTTTTTTTTTTTAAAGCCTCGGGTGTTTAATGGACTGGAGAAGGAGCTCGCGTTTATACGTGTTTCGTAGGAAAAGTAAAGAAAGGTGCGATTTTGGAATATTGGCTTGCGTGGGTCAGTGGACACTACAGAAGTATCAAACATCTGCTGGTTTGGTAGTATCGGCCCACTGTGCAATCTGGAACGATACTCTACGCCCTGTGTAGTAGACCTCAGAAATCCAGAGCAAGCCCTTTCTCTACTTCCCCTTAATTTCGGAATTGGGAAATTAAAAAAAAAAAACCATACAGTTCCACTTGTTCAATAGAAAACAAGGCTGTGAATGCACATGGAGGTGATGTTAAAAGATGTGCATCTGTCTTTTCACGCCACAGTTGTGCTAACTTACTGGTGCAAATAGCAGCTGTGCCTGTTGATGTATGAACTAACTTGCCACTTCAATCCCCCCAGGGTAGATAGGAAGTTAATCTACCAGAAGCATATTCTTCCCAAATCAAAACTAAGTTGAACTTTGGTGCAATTGAGCTCTCTATATGGTTAACTTATAAATTCATTAAGATAGAGTTCTAACAATCCGAACTGTGTTGGAAAAGCTAAAAACCATAGTACTTGATAGGAAAAATCTATTATTAGTTTTCTAATTTCTCTATTTAGGTACTTACCCTTTTGGAATCTTTCTGTTGAAGATACTTCTTAGGTTATTATTTATAGTGACTATGACTGTAAACAATGCATGATTTTAAAAAAAATTTAATGACAACTCAAAAAGAGTTACACAAACATTTTCATTGTAATCTTATATAGCTTTATTTCAGAATATATACTGAATTCCGAAGGAATTTCCTTTGCATAAACTTACATAGGATTGTAAATTGCCTTGGGCTTCTAACTCTGGATTTGTCAGAGTTAGCTGAAATTGAAATGCAGCTCTAAAAGTCTGAGCCTTCATAAATCAAGCAAGAGAATTTTACAATTACTGCTTTTATTTTGATATGATCGAAGGAGCCTGAACACGGTAGCTGAGATAGGCTGCCGACTAGTCAGACACATTGGATTGGAATGGGCATCTTCCTTCATCAAGACCTATGTGTCCTAAAACGGACAAATTTACATTGAGATTTGCTGTACACTTAATGGGATTCTTACTGAAATCTATGAATGTAAATAAAGTCCATTTTGTGAAATGAAACTTCAGATTATTTGCGCTGAAAACCTTTCTTCGATTATGGAAATATGTGAACTGGGCTATGAAAGTTACAATATTGAATTTAGTCATTTTCTTTAGGAAATGACTTGCTTAAACTTTTTAGTATTCTTTTCATTTTAAGGCATTTAAAAAGAATCTTACTATTTAAATTTCTTTTATACAAACTTACAGTTGTGAGTTTACAAAGTGTTAACCTTTAAAAATAAAGCCTGATATTCACAAGGTTTTATTAAGGCTCAGCAAGTGTCACAAAAGAGCTTTTGAGGATAATGTTTTCAAGCCTTGGTTTGGGCAGTCTGTCAAATGTGATTATTTTTTTTTGTCGGGGCCATAACATGCTAATCTGGAAAGGAAAGAGTAGAAGATTAATTTTATCACACAGTGCACAACAGTCCCTTGGAGTTGAACTGATTGGCCAGAGAATCCAGCTATGGTGGAGAGGTGTTTAACTTTGTACAACAGAAGTGTTGAGAATATAATTTGGGGTTAGGGTTATGGTAAAATATGTCAATACAATAATAAGATATACTGTTTTTTATTACATATATTCAAACAAAGGGATGCCATTTTATGATAATTTGAGGGTTAAATGGTGGGCAAATCTGAACTATCTTACAAATTAATGTTAGAATATATTGTTAATCTTTTTCCGTGTTGCATACCATACATATACAAACGTAATTTGTCTCAGAAGAAAAATCAATAATAGTAATTATGTTAAGCAAAATAATAATGATTCATTTAACCCTGAAGCCTAGCACAAATACTGAAGGGCAAGGGGTTTTTCCTCCTAGGTAAATAGTCAGATTCTTAAGAATAGTAAAACAGCCTTGGAGCCAGGAAAAATAGTTTAAAAAAATAACAGAGCAATGAGTGACACATTCCACTCCTGATAGACAGCAAATCAAAAAATTGGGGTGGGTGGAGGCTAGGTCAGGGGGCATAGAGGAGAAACTATTTCTGGAAACATTATCTTCTTTCATGATAAAATATTTGGCTTCCGGGAAAAGAGAAGCTGTTAAGTCAGCCAGCTTTAGCATGAAAAACACTTTCAAAGGCTTAAAATATGTGAAATGTCTTCATTTCCCAGTGAAAATGCATGCTCTGCGTGAGCAAAGGGCAGCTTTTATAACATGCTTTATTATTTATGGCATGGTAGGGGCAGATCTTCATTCTGTTTCAAATGCCTGCATCAGCATGGCTGGAACAACATTTTTTTAAAAAAAAAAATCCTGCCTTATCTCTCACTGCAGCAAAACGTTGGTTTTATGTAAATAGATTTTCTCTTTCTCAGCTTGTCCAGGACTTCAACACCCAGGTGGCTCTGTATCGGGAATTGGTCATTTCCATTGGGGATGTCTCAGTCAGTTGCCCATCGTTACATGCTGAAATGCACAGAACACGTACCAAAGGATGTGAGACCGCCTATCAGGCACACCAAAAGCTATCTGCAATCTCTGGGTAGGAGACTTTCCATGTTTGGTCTACTCACCTGTATTGTTACCAGTTCTGTACAAGATATAGGAACAAGAGATAGCCACTATTGTATTTTAATAGCCTGGATTTTAGTTAAAGTATTTAATTCGTTCTGAGCTCACCTTTGAGATAGGAAAGCACCTCTTTGGTCTTTAGTTACAGCTCTCAGAACATTTGGAGGAAAGCTGTGCCATTTAAAATCGTTTGAAACTGAAGGGCATTTTGTAATCTGCTGTATCAAACACAAATTCATAGTTAAGCTGATATGAGTCTTTGATAGAGATAGAGGAACTTTTAAAAAATCAATGCTAAAATACAAACGAAGTTAAGAGTGACATTATTAGACTGGACTATTATTTTAAAACTTTTATCATCTGTTAACTGGAAAACAGCATTCTAAGTAATGTTACAATATGCTTTCAAGTGCTACATTTTTGTTTTGCTTCAATAATTAAAGCTAAAACAGCAAATCATTTCTAAACCAGTGTAATAAATAGTGTTTCATTCTTGAAGGTGCAGTTGCATCCATGATTATGCCCATCAGTTACATCTAAGGTGGAAAGAAAACTGGAATGCATTTAATTTACATTGAATGCACATTTTATGCAGCCTTGCAGTACTAATTGCACCTGTAATTAGAAAAAAAATATTTATTCATATATTTTACTTTTAGCTGCCTGCTACCAAAATACCAAGATGGTATGTAAAAAGCAAAAATATTAAAATCAAGAGACTCTAGAAAAAGATAAAATGGTGATTTAAGTCATTAAAACTATAAATTAAAACTTAAATTTTATACTTAGGCATAGTGAAAGGTAAACTGGAAGGTGTTTTTTTTTAAGCCAATGTGGTAGTCACCATTATATTCCATGAGCCATAGTGGTGCAGTGGTTAGAGTGCAGTACTGCAGGCTACTTCTGTTGTGCCTGTAATTTGGCAGTTCAAATCTCACTAGGCTCAAGGTTGATTCAGCCTTCCATTCTTCTGAGGTGGATAAAATGAGGACCCAAATTGTTGAGTCATGCTGACTCTGTAAACTGTTTAGAGAGGGATGTAAAGAACGGTGAAGTGGTATATAAGTCTTAAGTGCTATTACTATTGGGGAGCAAATTCATCATATTCAGCCATGACAAAAGGTCAGGGCCCAAGTTGCAGCAAGGTGGACCATCTACCGTTGAAGATGTACTTCCCCAGGTGATTTAAATGATGGGAACCTTGCAGAAGGAGGCAAGTATCCTGAATCCAAACCATTCAGATCTGTAAAAACAAGTGACCCCTTATATTGTATCCAGAAGAAAATTAGCAACCAGTATAGAGATTTCAAAATCGTTAACTTTGCCTCTAGAAAATAGACCAAAGACCAAAGTGAGTGTAGCACTTTGTACCAGTATTTCACAAGTGGGTAGCCCAACACACAATGCATTATCTAAGTAAAGCTTAGAAGTTACAATTTGCTGTTAGGTCATTATTTAGGAAAGAAAGCCTACAATAATGCTTCCGGCCACAAATTCCATCTAAGAAAATAAGGGGTCCTAATGCACAATAACAAACAATTTGCATATCTGCTCTGTTTAGGAAAGTTTGACCCCATCTTATCTGTCTTATCTGAATTATGCCTCAATTTATTTTCCTTCTGTCTATTATACAATAAATCATAATTGACAAGCATAACTAAATAGTTCTATCTTGTTTCAGTTGAAGCAAAATTCAAAGCCCTAGTTTTAGTAGTGATTGAGTAATTTTAACGCACTTGTCATGGAGTCGTAATGTTGTTTGATGCAGATATACTTTTAGCCCTATGGATGCAAAGGTTTTAATATTAGGAATACCGAAGTACACCTATCTGTCATTAAGCATTGTAATAATTGATTGGCACCAGTGCCATTAGTTTGAATAAGTGCTGAGTAGAGGCTTGGTAATCAGTTCAGCAAGCAGCAATAAAAAGACACAAGTAGCAACTAAAAATACAACATTTAAACATCGAAAAGTGGCAAAACCAGAGATCCCCCAAAACATGCATTTAAAAGTAAGTTTGTAAACGTATAAGTAAACATTAGTTGTAATACACAATGAACATCAGTAATTGCTTATGCTACAGGTAAGTCTTGAAACTCAGAACTGTCTTATACTCCATTGCAGCCTATTTTAGGCTTATAGGATCTATTCTGATTGACAGTATCCATCCATATCTCAAGTAGAATACTTTTTCATTAATTTCATGAATACTTTCACTGATTCTTTCAGTGAAAGCACTAAGCTAAATGTTAGACCACCGTTATATCATGCTCTTCTACTAAGCTGAGAGCCCACATGTTGGTTCCTAACTCCACTTGCTTTTATCATGCCATGCATTGCAAAATTAAGCATATATTTTACAAAGCAGATGAGTCAAGTAGAAAAGAATTTGGATTTAATTTCAGTTTTGCTTGTGCCAGAATGGTGTACTGGGTTGTGGCCCTTAAACAGTCATCTGTGATAATTAAAAAGGTATGAAGTTGGTGGCTCCAAATTTGATATTTTGACATTTTATTTTAAATGCATGGCAGTGTAACAGATGTAATCTTGTTTCCAACCTTCACTACTGGCTTTCAGACTGCAGGAGGGATTAAAAATGCCCTTTTACTTACACAGTGTTCTGTACATAGCCCCTGAAATGTTTATTAAATTAAAGATACCTATAAAGGTCAGGAGTAGGACAGATTTCCGCTTCAATTTTCCTTAATACTATTTGTTCATGCTGCCCTTGTGATATACTTGTTTGCCGGACACCTGACCCATCGTTCCCATTCCCAGCCAGGGTATCATACTTGGCTGACGTCTTTTGAATGAACCCTGTGAAAGTCCTTAAGGTGAGATATTTGAATGGGCAATTGATCCAGCAAACAGACTAGAATAAGAGTAGACAAGGCAGTCTTCAGTCTATTATCTGAATTATCCATTTCATCCTGTCTAGTGGTAGGGCTAGCCCTGAATAGATGAGCTGTATTACTGTTTGCTTCTTCAAAAAAGAAATGCAGGAAATAATACTGTGTTCCATTTAAGTGTCTTTTTAAAAAAATAGTTATATACAGGTAATTTCAGTTTCACAGTTCCTTTTATAGGTTTTCTGCAAACCTTATGGAATATTATTGAATTGTGACTGATGTGTAATGTGCTAAAAAGCTAAGGGCAAATTCTCTGGTGGGTGTGCTTTAAATTGGAATTTCTACACTGCTTGTAAAACCATTTAAAACTAATTAGTCCCAGTTTCCTAAAAGAAGCAAAAATAGAGAATTGATTCCAAACATTTGTGTGATTGAAAAAAAATAGATTTATAACTATTTTCAAACTGTATTTTGCTTATAAATTTATTTTAAGAAAATAATGTGGGAACCTTTGAGTATTTAAGCTAGTGGGGTGCTTGAATAGAAAACTACAACTGAAAGCATAATTTAAATCATTAATAAAATAACAAACAGGTCAGTTTGAGTTGTGCTCCTGAGATGTGAATGCCTCAAGTTGCTGAATAAGATTTCACAGTTAAAATGTGACTGAAACTTTCTATCCATAGGACTATGGAAAGTTGGGGGGATCTACATCTTCCCACAATAATCTTTTTATGAGGCAGAAAATGCTGTGTGTCTATGGCCTTCAGCTTCCTGGCTATGAAAGATCTTATTTCTCCCCCTTGCTTTTAAAGAGCAGCTTAGTTGTACACCCAAAAGGGATTAACAAGATGCTTTATCTTTGGAATAAATGGTAGTATATAAAATGTTACTCGGTGCTGAGAAATAGTGAAATGATAAATGAAAATAAGTTTAGCTTTGGCTCAACCTGAGACTCTGGAAGTAGATTAGGCAGATAAAATAAACCAATTGTTTACACAATCAATATTTAATTTTATGCTGTTTGTTGACATAGGATGCAGTGGTGGCCATTGGCCTCCTTAGCTTCAGAGGGATTTGTACTGTTCTTATTTCCTCATTCTCTTCTGCCTGAAAGACTCCCAGAATAGTTCACAATTACGTATTTGTGAAACAAAACTGCCTTTCCCTACATGCTTATAGTCTAAAAGACACAATTCAAAAGGAAGGCAGGCTGGGAATAAACAACCAACTTAGACGTCATTAAAGTCTTAAGAGTAAAGTTAAAACAGAAAGTAAATTCAACTGGGAATGGAGCTGGATTAGAAAATAAAGGATTGGCTGTTGCTTGTTGCTCTCTGGTGGCCTCAGCAATCATTGGTGATAGCTGGAGGAAGAATACTCAATTGGAGTGGTATTCAGGCATAAGGGAACATTCCAGTGAATACATTTGGAAACCAAGAACACGGGAAAACCCTTTTTTTTTCATAAGGGTATGTGACAGCCATGGTTAGGAAAGAGGACATACTGGATTGACCTCTATTCTTATGTATATACAAAGACACAAATCGTGAACTTTGTCCAGAACTGTGGTGCACATACTTCAAATCTATATCCGATGCTTTAACAAAGTGATGTATAGCTATTGCTAAAGTGAGAACTAATTAGTCCAAACAGCTATTCAAACCCAAGGCTACAGATTTCATTTTTCATATACCCATATGCCCATCTCCACATTACATTATTAATCCCCTAATTCATGGGCAAGTATAGTGTTTCCAAGAGTCCTAAAATAGTGTATGGGAGTATACATTTGCCAGAGCAGAAAGGTTTATCATGAAAAGGAAATGCAGAATTGAAACATAAGAGGCTTATACTTATTTTATTTCAAAGCAAAGAAGCACAAACACACACACACAAATATACACGCGCATGCTCAATTTCTGATTAGTCGGACATTTGGAAAAATACTGTCTGCTTTTGTAATTACTTGATTTATATAAGAGAAACCAAATACGGGGTGCTTCACTGCGTTTGAGTAGTTTCATCAAAAGAAGTAGATTGAAAGGTTCTTTTTTATTTATTTTATTTTATTTATTTTTGCTTTCAAGTCGGTGTTGATTTCTTGTGACTGCCAGGATT